TCTTTAATCTTTAATGCTTAGAAAGAAAACACTAGGCACAGACTCCATGTTTACACCTGTAGTAGACTGCTGTAGAGACTGAATAGAGTCACAGCCTGCCTTCTCTGTCCAGGGTCCAGTCACATGGAGCAGGAGCTTCTCCGCCTGACCAACGACTCCCCTGTTGACCTCCTGTGTGCACCCGTCCCTTCGTGCTTGCCATCCCCTCAGCTGAGGCCAGATCCTGTCGTCCTCCAATCTGCTGATCTCATTCAGTTTGAGGAACACCCTCAAGAGCCTTCTGGTAGGATACACTGTGGTATTGTGGGGGTTTTCATTGTGGGTTTAAAAAAATAAAACCTGATGCCAGTATATTAAATGTCTGATGGAGGTGGGGTGAGACTATACCTTTTCAGGTATAAAAGTACCTGAGCGGATTATTCAGTACCTTTTTTCCCTGTCAAGACTCCTGTTTGGATTTTTAGCCTGAGGATGCTTGGGGACAATGTGGGTCTTGAGGAACAGTGTCACTGACTGTGGAGAGCCCATGGAGGAGAATGCGAAGTGCCCTCCAGGCTTCTGGGCTGCCCACCTTTTCAAATGTCCAGCTACTCTTGGGCACACCTGTCACCAAGCAGAAACATCCCTTCCAGTCCAGGCCCAGAGTTGAATGGCTCCAGAGGGCACGGGGACTTTATGAGAGTATGAATAGAGGAGGAAGGCAGCTGTGATTTGAACCCCAGACTCTGTCCAGTGATCTGAGAAAGGAGAGGAAGCTGATCACACCGAGGCCTGACTTAGTGCTGGCATTGTGTTAGGTGCCACATAGCTCTCACTGCGTGCCAACCTTGTGCTTGGGGCTGACGATCACAGTTCTCACCACAACTCTGGAGTCGGCCCACTGTACAGGTTAGGTGACTAAGCCATAGCTTGTGCCATGACCAGAGACACAACTGGCCCCAGGTTACTTGGCCAGGAAGTGGCAGAGCCAGGATTTGAGCCTAAGGCTTGTTGTCTTTCTGCTGTTACCTGGCCTCCAGAGAGGAGCCCGGCCTGCTTTGTGGAGGTGTTCCCTCCTCTCTTCATCTGCTGTAAGCCGGTTCCTCCTCACTCTGTTGACTTTGTTTTCCAGGAGATGGCCAGGGACAGCCTACCAAGCACTGGTGGGTTTTCACCATCCTTAGTCTTTGGCAGCCCTTGGCGCTGTTGCTCAGTGAATGAACTGAGGTTATTTACCTGAACAACAGGAGGCAGGGGAACATGTCACTGAATCCTGATAACAGGAAGAACTAGCCCGTGAGAGCAGGGTAGACCTACAGTTGTTCCTCTGGAACTTATAACTAGAGTTGGTGGCAGATCGATATTGACTCATCTGTGGGGTTGTGGCTTTTGTACATTTAGTATACACAGTTTCAACCATATGCATGTGACAAGGAAAATAATTTGAATAGTGTGGGCCGTTCTGTCTACAATTCTCAGTGGATGTCAGCCTGAGAAGGGAGCTGGGACTCTGCTGTCCCTTCTGTCACTCTTACCTCTTATGTGCCAGGGGTGGTCTTATGCAGTGGGAGTATAAGGTATAATGATGCATCTTTTTTAAGCAACATGGCTGTGTATATACAGCAGGTAAGTGGTAGCTTAGAGAAATAGCAGTCTACAAACACTGCAGGAAAACTGGCTGTGTTTGACTTCCTAGATTTTTAAGGGCAATTTTTAACTCTGTGTAATTCTTCTCTTGCCCACTACCCCCCACCCCCATGCTATTAGATCCATGCAGAGTGTGGGTCCTTTGAAAATGGAATGGGCCAGGGCCTCCCTGACAGTAGGGTCCCTCCTGACTCAGAAAGTCTTAAAGTCACATGTGGCTTTTGAGTCCTTGACTACCTGACAGAGAGTGAGTGGGCAGAGAACCCGAAGTGGAAAAAAAATTTTTTTAAACCGTTGCCCATTGATTTGAAGCCAAAAATAGAGATCTTGGGCCAGCTCATGGCTCACGTGGAAGTGTGTGGTGCTGGTAACACCAAGGCCATGGGTTCATATCCCTGTATAGGGATGGCCAGTTAGCTCACTTGGGAGAGCGTGGTGCTGACAGCACCAAG